CGGGCGGGCCTGCCGGTAGGGGGCCGGGGGAGCTCCGATCCGTCAACGACCCCCAAGAGGGGGGTCGGCCTCCTCCCGGCCCCCACAGCCGATCTGCTTCCAAGCCCACGACCTTGGGCTCGGTGGCCAAGGGGATGCGTTCTGGAAGCCGCCCTGGCCGGATCTCTGCGCCCCCGGGCCCTCCGGACAAAGTGATTTGCTCCGCGTAGCCTGCTCCCCTTTAGGAAAAATGGGGATATTATTTCCTGTGTGCTGAGGCTGTCCGGTGGATGAATTAACATAAAGCACGCGAGGAGCCTAGCGCAGTGCCTGGATCTGTAGCGAGTTCAGAAAAATGTTAGATGTAACTTTAAAAACTTTTTTACAGTTGATAGCCAAAGGATCCCCTTCCCGGTGGGAATGTGAGACTTCTTCAGCCTCTGCCTTTTTAAAACCTGCAACTTTGTAGTTTTGGGTTTTGAAGTGCGAGCCCAGGGCACTACATATTGGAGAACTGTGAGCCTGGGCAACTTAGCTGACCTCTCTGGACCTTGGATTCCTAACCTCCAGATTGGGTGGAGATTGTTCATAAAATCGTTGTGAGTTTAATTGGCATCGTGTGTGTAAACCATGCTTGGAAACATCATCAAACTGATGGGCCTGGCGTCAATGAGAGTAAAAGGCCGCTCTTTCTCCTAGGGAGCAACTGGTGGTTTCTTACATTTAGCAGCCCCCACACAACCACTAGCCACCAGGCTCCTGGCAACATAACAGATAGTCAATAAGCGGATGGCGATTAGTATTACTTGACAAATGTGCTTTTAGATAAACTTGTAATAAGTGTACTCAGACGACCTGCCATTGAGCCCATGCTGACTCATAGTAACCCCCTGGTGGGTTTCTGAGACTTTTAAAAAAATCATTTTACTGGGGGCGCTCATACAACTTTTATTGCACTCCATACATACATCAATTGTATAAAGCACATTTGTACATTTGTTACCCTCATTCTCAAAACCCGTTCTCATGTAAGCCTCTTGCATTAGCTCATCCCTCCCCTCCCCCCTCCTTCATGAACCCTTGATAATTTATAAATTATTATTTTGTCATATCTTACATTGTCCGACGTCTCCCTTCACCCACTTTTCTGTTGTCCATCCCCCAGGGAGGAGGTTATATGTAGATCATTGTGATCAGTTCCCCCTCTCTACCCCACCCTCCCTCTGAGTGACTTCTCAGACCCTTTAAAAAGAGGGGGTTCTTAAATATTAAATAGAAAGTTGGAGGGTTCTGAAAATGCAGAAGAATTTCAACAGTGTTTTCGGAGAATCGTTCAGCAGATACTAGAAAGGAAGCCCTTCCCTGGAGCAGTTTGAGAATACTCAGGGTTCACCTTCATTCTTATTGAAAGTAAAAGACACATCTGGTAGACTCTTCCACAGGAGGCCTTTCCTGGTAAGTTCTGAGACGTTTTTGTTTTCTTGAACTTTAGGAAGATCCTGCCTTGGTTCGGTGGACCTATGCTAGATCAACAAATATCTATCCCAATTTCCGGCCTACTCCCAAGAACTCCCTCATAGGAGCTGTGTTTGGCATTGGACCCCTGGTGTTCTGGTATTACGTTTTCAAAACTGACAGAGTAAGTATTGGGCGGAAAGGTTCCCTCAGCACTGCAGCTCCTTCTCGCTGTTAGTCACCCCTGACTCTTCCATCTCTGGCAGGCCCTGCTCTGTGCCTTCTCTTGTTCTCTCTTCTTACCTTTACCCCGTCAGCCAGAGCTAAAGCAAAACCGCTTTGCAACGACATGTGTAGACGATGGGCCCTGGGGATGAAGTTGACAGCTCTTCATTTCTGTTTCTCGCAGTTGTACCATGGATTGTGCCCAATTGTATTGAATGGCTTTTTAAAATTCACCCCCCCCCCCTTCTTCCCCTTCTGTCTGTCCAGGAGAAGAAAGAAAAACTTATCCAGGAAGGAAAATTGGATCGATCATTTAACATCTCATATTAAGTTTGGTGATAATGACTGTATGTATTCTTGCTTAAATAAACCTATCAACCATTACGTTAGTTTCTTTTTCTTAATCTAATCTTAATGCAACAGTCATTTTCTGGATATTATAGCATCCCGGTTTTCTAAGAGCTCACAATTTAATAAGCTGACTCATGCTTATTTCTTTAATCAATTATCCCACCAATGAGTGCTTACACTGTGACCAGCAATGTGCAGAGAACACAGAGGTCGGTAAGACAGACTGATCCCTGTGCATAAAGTCCTTGGCAGCATAGTGGATTACCCTTTGGGCTAGTAACTGCAAGGTCAGCAGTTTAAAACCACTCTGAGAGAGAAAGAAGGCTTTTTCCGGAAGCTCTCGAGGCCGTTCTAGATTGTCCCGTAGGGTCACTGGGCACCGGCATGCATCTGTGGCTCCGGTCCCAGTGGTTGTCCGAGAGTACAACAGCAGCCGTGTGGTCAGCAACACAGCACCAAGAATGCAGAGCTGCTCGCTGTGGGCAAGTCCCAGACTAGACCTGAGCACAGGGGTTTCAGTGGTGATTCTTGCAAGATGCCTTTGAATGGTCTTAGCGGCACTTAGCAGCCAGGCATGTTCACCGTTTGGACCAGCCAGGGACTCCAAAAAATACAGTGGAGAGTCAGAAGAGAGATGTAGGCCAACTGCTGAGGGAGTAAGTGCTTCGGTCTCAGGAGCGCACGGAGCGCAGGCTGACACTGGGTGGAAGAGGGACATGGAAGGGCAAGGTGTTTTGCAGCGGTTCTCAACCTGTGGGTCGCAACACAACCCCTACCGGGGTCGAACGACCCTTTCTTAGGGGTTGCCTGATTCATAACAGTAGCAAAATGACAGTGATGAAGTAGCAACGAAAATAATTTTGTGGTTGGGGGTCACGACAACATGAACTGTATTAAAGGGTCACGGCACGAGGAAGGTGGAGAACCACTGGTGTATTGGGTTTGGGTGGAGGGCAGAGGCATGATGAGGAACAGGTGTGAAATGGTTAAGAGCCTGGGTTCTGAAGTTCAGATCTGGGCTGCAGTCCTAGCTGTGGATTTAGCTGGGAGGCCCAGGCCTCTTCATCGTCACTTAATAGAGAGAATCTTGCTTAACTACCTTACAAGGGGATAGTAAAATGGAAGTAATGAGCATTGTTCAATCGGTTAACGCTGCCCAATGTGTCTAGCTTTAACTAATTGAGCGACACTCAGTATTTAAGACCAGCCCCTGGAGAAGGACAGCATTCTTGGTAAAGCAGTGGGGCAGTGATAGGAATACCATCAACGACATGGACCGACACCGTGGTTACATGGATGTTCTCAAGCATCACAACAGCTGTGAGGCTGCCACGGGGCCAACCAGGGCTGCTTCGGTTGTACATGAGGCTGCCGTGGGTCAGCATCCAACAAGAACAATCCCATGTTCGGAGTTCATTCTCGGTACAGTGACAGTCTGCTCCCGAGTGAAGTGTACAACAGTATGCTCTGTAAAGCTCTTACCTTTACATATTAAAGTTTGAGTTTGAAAGTATGTTCACAACTTCTCTCATTTGATCATTGTCATGGCCTGGAGGTTACCTCAAAATGCGCAGCGTGAGAGAGGCTTGTATGCAGGTAGTCTGTGTTACCAAGTGACCTGGAAGAAGTGGGGGATGGGAAGAGGGAACTAGGACAGGACTGAAAGCCCACTCGGTGCTATTACCTGGTTGCCTCTACCACAGTAGGCTCCATTCTACCAGGTACTTTCTAAGGAGCCCTGTGGAGTGACAGAATTTCCTTCATCTGTGGCCGCCTCTCCCCATTGGTCAAGTTAGTACCCTGTGTATCTCCTTGGACTTGCCGAAATGGGCCAAACCTGGAAAGAAGCTGCTGGCAGAGAGCCAGTGAAGCGCCAGCAGGTTACGTCTGCATCCATCCACTCAGCTGCCCCAACATTGGAGTGGGAAGGGTGGACCCAGAGGCTGTCAAACAGGACACATGCTAGTCTCGATTCCTCATCCACCCCTTCTCCACTTGGACCTGCTTGTTCACACATTGTCAGTCTGTTACATGACCTTCAAGGTGGTGGCCAGCCACTATCTCCAAGAAGTCTCAGAAGGATTCGTGGGTCCAGTTACATGTCACATTGTCACATCTGGTCCTAAGCATTACCTGCATTAAGCTTTCTAGATGTCCTCCTGACTCAGTTTTTCTGCCAACCTCTACTGCCTAGCTCCATGCCCCTATCTGCCTGTCACTTCAACGGGTCAAGCTTGCTTGTCTGATGGCGGTGGCGCCATGCCTCTGCTGACAGTGGCCCAAACTTGAGTCATGCTAGCATCGGCAGACCTTCGGTACGCTTTTGCCTATTGATTGTTATCACCAGACGTGGAAACATGCCAGTGAATTCCCCGGGTTCCAGACATACTCCTTGCCCCCGTTGCATGCCACTGACCTCAACTGATAATCAAGACCCATTACTGCTTCCAATATGGACACTTGTTTGTCAGTGTTGCTGATGTTTCTGAGAAGCCCAAATGACCACGATGTAGCCATAGCTTCAAGTTAAGTGGGATCCTTACTGTGTTTCCTAGTGGAAGTGCACCCCCCGCCTGCCCACCCCACAGTGGGAATCAAGGCGTCTAGTGCCTAAGCGTGGAGAGAAGGGAAGAGCTCGCTGCACAAAGGAGTCATGGGGATGAGGAAGGTAGCTAGTCTTCCCCGCTCTTGGTTCTAGGGTAGCAACTCTGCTGTTACATGTCCCAAATGGTGGGGTGCTTGCACTGCGTGCATCCTGCACTACTGCAAACAACCCACCCCACCCCCCTTGCTCAAAACTGGTAGCCTTGTGATTCACCTCCCAAAGTAGATCACAGCAGTGTTCCCAAGTGGCCTGGAATCCAAAGATGCCACAAAGTGCTGGGCCTTCTTAGGCACAGAAGGTGTGAGGCCTAAAAAAAACCAAACTGGCCTTTTACCTTATAAGAACTGCCAAGGGCACACCCCAGCTTAATGGGGATATGCAGGCTACCAAACCTTTATGGGAATTGTCTCCCACTCTCTGGTACCTCTTCCTATATCAGTGAGGTGAAGAGAAGCCTACTCTATGAGGGAGCCAGAAGCTTTGTGGCAGAGGTCATAGGTGAAAGGGCCAGGCAGTGAACGCACGGAGTAGCTGTGTAATGACCAGCACTGGAACCCGGATCCAGGACTGTCTTCAGAAGGGATCTGAAAACCACTTTGGACCTGCAAACACTGCCATCTGCTCAGCTGCTGCCACTAATTCGGGGCCCTGGGCACAGAGCCCATGTTACCTCTTTTGGCCAAAGATCGCAAGCTTTTTGCTACCATTATCAGAAAGAGTCCCTCATGCTCTCCATAGTCACTTAGCTCGTGCTCCTGAGTCCGCACACATGATTGGCTGAGCTTAGGTCACGCGGCTAAGCTCTTGTTTTGAGGGAGGCTGGAAAAACAAGCATGCGGTATGTATGTTCAGCTCTTTAGAGGGAGGCAGATAGGGAATCGCCAAAGCGAGGAAAGGGGCCTGAAAACTGGCTAGTGTACAAATACGTACTACCACTAGTCCAGCAGAACCAGATCTAGAAGGCAAGGAGAACAGAATAGGTCAGAATGTCGGGAGAGGCAGAATAAAGGTGATGAGGGACCAGAGCAAAGGACCTGGTCAGCCACACTTACGGAGGTGAGGTTTCCTGCTGTTGGCAATGGGGAGCCCTTGGAGGCATGAAGGAGGAGCCCCACTGAATTTGTATCTTGGAAGGTCACTCTGCTTCCTGGATGGAGAATGATCCGGAGACCAGGCTTAATTCAGGCCAGGTATAATTTCAATTTTTGAGACAGCCTTTAATGCAGAACAAGGCAGCCCCTGCCAGTCCCAAGATGACTCATTTGGATGTGAACTTGTCAAAAGCTTTATGGAAGTCTAAATATATTATCTATATTAGTTCCTCTTTGTGCACATGCATGAGAAGCTCATCTGCTTAATAATTCCCTACTGAGGTAGTTAGTTTATTGTGCCAACCTGGCCCATAAACACCTGTGGGATTAATTGAAGGGCGGAGGGATAAATGGCTCAGTGAGCATCACCTTTCTAGTTCTCGGCGGGTCTCTTGCTTTTGATGGTCAGACCAGGGTGCAGCTGCCTTAGCCAGTTCCCTGCTTTACCTGGCAAGGCTCACTTCCTGCAGGACATCCCCAAGGAGAAGCCACATGGACCTACCCCAATGTAGCCCTGGGTGCTGGAGCACCCGTGTGGAGACCCCTGCCAGCGCTGAGATGCTTACACATTCACTGACTCAGCTTTCCTCCTGCAGTCGGCATCATTTCATCTGTTTTGTGAGATGGAGGAGGATTTTGTGGATTGGTGTTGATCATATGGGATAATGGGTTAATGTTGGACTTGGCATGGGCAGCACTGAGTTGGGATGTTTTCTTGATGCACACTTAACCTTTATATAAAACTCTCTCTTATATCTGAGTTTCTGTGGATTTGTTTCTCTAAAGTACCCAGATTAACACACCTATCCATGAATGACATCCCTGCCCCTTCTCGGGAGCTATGCTGCTGCTGAACAGGCTACTTTGTTTAAGCATGATGTCTTTTACCCTTTATGATGGAGCTCGCCTGGAGACATCAAACAAAACAAATCAAAAGCATTCTTGCTCTGATAGAAATCCCCTTGGGTTCCATCCTTGATATATTTTCCTTCTTGCATTTTCATTTTCCCAGTGGCACCTGACACAGTAGTCTCATATAATCTTGGGGAGATTCAAAGTGCTCTTGTCCCTACCTTCTGTATGATCGTTACAGGGCCACATGAAGAGTTTAGAGATGTGGTAGTTATATAATCTCTGGTGTCAATTTGAGAGGATTACGAATGAAGGGGTAGATTCTGGCCTGTCAATCAGGATATAGCCAATGAGGCCTCTGTGTGAGCATGGCCTTCTCCTGAGGATTCTGGGAACTCTGGTATTTCTCTTTGGAGGCGGGAGACACCTCTCTCTCTCTGCGCACTCCCTGGCAGACATTGCAGCTGACCAGACACATGGAACTA